TGTATCTTGATGAGTTCTGTGATTCCTCAGATCAAGAAATTAATTTGCTAGGTTTCAATGAAAACAATCACAGGTGATAAATATGAGGCTAATGAAACAGGTGGGGGCAGGGAACCTAACACACTACCTTTGGCTATCCTTCAATTCTTTTGCTTTCTTTTGGGGGGGGGGGGGAGTTTGGACCACACCTGTAGGTGCTCAGGGCTCATGCCTCTGGGCTGAGGGATCACTCCTGGTGAACTCAGAAAACTGTATGGGGTACAGGGGATGGGATCCAGATTGGCTGTGTGCAAGGCAAGCACCCTGCCCGCTATACTATAATTCTCTGGCCCTTGATTTACACCTTTAAAATCCTAATTTCCCCAACCTAACCATGGGCATGAGGACAAGTCAGTGACCCAAGTTCTTGGGTTTAAAATAAACCCTACTTCTACATAGAATGAATGTGTATCTTCTTTGCATTCAGGAAATTAATACAGATGAGGCAATAAAATAAAAAGTAATTCTATAAATGCCTGTCGCTAAAACAAAAGCATAAGGAAAAACCCCACACAACTTGAGTGAGCTACATCAGTAAATTTGCTTTCAGATTAAGCACTAGAAAAGTTTTGTTCAAAGGCTCTAAATCTGCTGTGGGAAAACAGGGCCTTTAACCTTTAACTTATATAGAAGTTGTATTTTCTCACACATGACATATTAATATACATTCATAGTTTAAAAACAAAGTATCTTTTATATACCCTTTACCTAAAACATTTTTCCATTTCGTGCAACTCTTGGTTGCAGAACCTTACAAATTCAAGTAGTAATACTTACTCTAATGTACAACCTTGCTAATGCAGTCAATACACGCAAACTTATTGCTACTAAAATTCTAACTTTTGAAAAGTATTAATCTGTTTTATGGCTTTTTATTTTTAAATAACAGGAAATAACCTTTCCTATATGCTGTGCTATTTTGCATTTATTACCTTTTCAGAGGTATTTTAAAAAATGCTTAAATGCTTTGCAAAAATGTTATTTTCCCAGGCACTAGAAGAAATCACTTGAACCAACAGTACAACTACTTTAAGTATTAAACTATGAGAATCTAAGCCTGGGTCCCTGGAGGTCTGTGGCCCTAGAGTCTGTTTAAGCTAGCTTCTGCACAAAACACACACCATACATTTCAAATCAGTTTGTATTTCATATTATGTTACAATAGTATCCTGTCAACAAATCCTGGACTCCCCTAATACTGATACCTAAAAAGTCACCTAAACACCCTGCAATTTCCAAGATCTTTGGATGGCTTTCAGAACAAACCATTTTTATTTCTATAAGGAAAGTAGGAGAACAAAAGCTTTGCAACACCAAGCAGAAGAACCAATTATTACATGGCATTCTTGGGAGGCTACATCTAGCTACATTTCCAACTCTCCTAAGGTTGGTGTCTCACCAATATACAATTAAACAGATCTGGAATAGGAAAAGCCCTATTACTCTAGGACACTAAATTACTGATCATTGTTCCTAGATGAATACACAGCATGCTGCAGACAGGAAATGTAAGTGGTCTGCAGTTTAGAAAAGCACTCAAGCAACTAACAGTAAGACATGCAAAATATAAAATAATTCCTCAATGAATAAGAAGAAAATAATAAACCTAGAAGACATAAAAGGTGAGACTAGCTAAAGAACAATCTCACCTAAAAGAGCAAAGCAGAATGACTTGGGGCCTTACTTTACATTGAGAATTCTTAAAATACAAAAGCCACTTGGTTTTCAGCCACTCATGAAGAACTTCAATATTCTCAAAGATAGTATTTCATCTTGTGACCCCATATATCTATTTGTACATGAATCTTTTTGGTCTTGAACTCCTTCCCCCATGGAGAATATCATTGATTCAGGAATTTATGGAAGAAAGAGTCTAGATTTTCTCTTTTTTTTTTTACATTATTGGTTATTATCAGTAATTCATCCTGCAGTTTTAAACTATTAGTAAGCTCATGCACTAACCCCTAATACAGCACTACAAGCTACTACGCAATGCTTACAAAACTATACACATCTCAAAATGGAAGACATTGGTGATTTTGTTGTTCTTAAACAACTTGTAACATTTGTCCACAAGTATTAAAATATACATATTTATATATATTGCACATGTCCCGTTTATCATTTTGAAAGAAAAAATAATCAGCTAACATAGATTAGTAAAAGAAAGAAGACATAGTCTTGTCTAAAATGAGAGGTTTGGCTTTCAAAAGGACCGAAACAGGAAAAATGCAGGGGTTGGAAGTACATTATGTAAATACAATGGGAATTTTGTTTTATACCAGAAGATGAGAATCATGAAAAATGCAGGAAGAATGTGAAAACAATAAAGAGTGGGTATTTTTAAGCTGTGACAACTGCAGAAGCTAGGTCTGATGTATATTCAAACAAATGTACAGGTTTAGTATGGGTTTCACTGGTGTAGATAATACAAGTACCCTTTTTTCCCTGCCAAATGATCTTGTTAAAAAGTTGCCGAAAGGACAAAAGGGAGATGGGTGACAGACATTTGAGATACAAATTCTCCATGATAAGACATTCTCAGTACACTAAGAGGAATCATGAATGTAGGCTCCATTTTTGTCTAACAATTCCAGAATACTATGAAAACATCAAGAAGGGCTTGGAAGTTACATACAGAAAAACAACTTTTTTTGGTTTTTGGGCCACACCCGCAGTGCGCAGAGGTTTTTCCTGTTTGACTCAGGAATTACTCCTATTGAGCTCAGGGGACCATATGGTGCTCTGGGGATCGAACCTGCGTTGGCAGCTTGCAAGGCAAACACCCTACCAGTTGTTCTATCTCTAGAGTCCCTAGAGAAAAAAATGTTAGTTACCTTTACCCAAAGTTATTTCTGTGTTCCTCAGGAAGTCTTTTCAGTTACAGGAAATGATTTCCTCGATTCTTTTGCCCCTCTCGGAGAACCTGGCAAGCTACAGAGAGTATCACGCTCGCACGACAAAGCCTGGCAAGCTACCTGTGATGTATTCGATATGTCAAAAACAATAACAAGTCTCACAATGGAGATGTTACTGGTGCCCACTCAAGCAAATCGATGAACAACGGGAGGACAGTGCTAACAATAACAACTAATTTTTTTAAAAAAGCATTCTTATACCAATTTACATTGTTTGGTCAACTGGACTAAATCAGTATGCAACACTTCCTATTGCTAGTGCTCACAAATACTGGTATATCTGACCCAAATCTTCAGCATTCAAGCATGCATGGGCCTGGGAACACCTCCCTAAATCAAGCCTGTAGTTCAGTGGCCCAGCACTTGCTTTGTAGCAGTGGGTCCTGGGTTCCATCCTCAGCACCACAGAAAATAAAACATTTCCTAAGTCAGCGTTGATCTAACACTACTTTTTAATTTTGGTTTTTGAGCCATACCCAGTGGTGCTCTGGGCTTACCCCAGGCTCTGTGCTTAGAGGACCACAGGAAGTGCTAGAGACTGAACTTGGGCCAGCCACATGCAAAGCAAGCACCTTACCCACACTACTTATTTCCAGCCCTTCTAAAAATATTCTGTAATTCTGTCTACGAAGTTTCAAACTCTAGCTACAGACTCATCAAGATTGCACTCTACCTGTGTAGTGAGCTGCCAACTGTAACCTTCTGTGATTCTGAGGTATAGCCCTAGTCTGTTGAGGATATGGCATAAGTGTTACAGAAAGAGGAAGTTTTCTTACTGGAACTGTTTTTCTTGAGTTTCCCCCACAAATCTACACTGAATGAACCACAAATTTAGGAACAATAACATTGCATCATTCTCTGATGAAAAAGTTTAGTGTCACCTGGGATAAGTGTCCCAGTCTTTTCAGTTCAACCATTCACCTACTGTTTAGAAAAAGAAAGCAGACATCAAAATTTCCGTTTGGGTAAGAGAAAAAAGATTACTGAGGATTTTACAAAAAGGTGGAGTTATAAAATGTAAAAGACCATAAAGTTGGCTGGAGCTGCACTGGGTGGAGTTGCATGAGGCTTTTTTTTTTTTTTTTGCAATACTGGGATTGAACCCAGGTCTCCTGCATTTAAGGCATGTACTTTAACCACTGGGCCACACACACACCCTGGCCCTGCATGAGGCATTTTTGCTTCTTTTTCTTAGAAGGAGTTTTACGAAAGCCTTCTCATCTCCATCCCTGTTCTCTCCACCAAAGCCAAAGCTGAAGGCAGGTCATACATGAGGATTCCATCTTATCTTCTGTTCAGGAAAATTGGTCAACTTTTCTTCCAACCTCAGAAGCATGGAAAACCAAGTTCAAGTGATACCGAGACTCCACAAAAAGGAATGAAACAATTCGTAGCACACCAACCAGCCTCTCACCTTATGGTAGTGAATGAGGTTCCATCAGTAGATTCAAAACTTTTTTTTTAAAAAACCAACCTTTCACTAAACCTAAGTATGTAGTCACAGAATTCACACCTACACAATAAGATTGTTATGTAAGAGAATGAAGAAGCATTAAAAAAAAAATCAAATGTTCAGATTTCTGAGGAATAAATAACAGCTTCCTTCTCCAGGAGTAAAATCCTCATTCTCTTCTAAAAATGTGGATTCGCACATGTAAAAATGTGTGTGGAGCAAATGAGATTTTCTTTACAAATGAAATGAATCTTATGCTACTGTATCTTTTTGCTTCCTTATTACATCATCACGTCAAATGTTCATTGCAGGATTGGAATTTTGTTCTTATCCAGAATACTTGCGCCACAGGATAAGGCAGGATTTCTGTATATAACTGTTAGCATCTTTTTCACTTCAAAGTATAACCCATATTCAGATTTTACTTCTGCAGTCTTAACCATACTGATCGCGGGAGTGGCTGGCACTGAAAGACCGTACAAAACAAAAACCTGATGTGACCCATACTTGCTGTTTACTCCTTCTTATTCAGGCCCAAGCCAAGAATTCACAAATACTACCTGTTTCAAATTAAACACCAACCTTTCATAAAATTTCTTTCCAATTAAGCAAATAGGAGCCGGAGAAGTCTGTTGGTTGTTGCTTTCTTTTTTTCCCCCTAGAGAAGCTGGAATGACTGTTACTTCTGAGAGGTGGAACTGCCTTTTCCATTTCAACTCATTGAGCGAAGGTATCAAGAGTTATTCATGTTTCAGTAGGGAAAACGACTAGACAAAGAAGCAGGAATATTTAGTCCGGGAAACAAAACAGAAATGCCTGGAATACAAAACAAATGAAAACATATAAAATATACTTAAAACAAAAACTGTTTTGTATTATACAGACCATTTTAAAAGACATGTCTAGGAGCAAAAGCAAATACAGTGAAGAGGGTGCTTGTTTTGCACACAGCTGACCTGGTATGTTCTATCTCTGGCACTACGTGATTCCCAAAGCACCACCAGGAGCAAACCCAGAACACTTGTGGTGGCTCCCAAACCAAAAATTATAAGCCATTATAAGTAATGTAGTCACTAGGAGTTGCATACATTTCACTACACACATGACGATAAAGGTTCAATTTCTAGCTCCTCAAAAACAGAAGTCACTTTTGATGTTCTTACTGTGTTGAGCTAATTTTTGTTTTGGAGAGGGGTGGTGGCTCACACCTGGTGCTGCTCAGGGGTTACCCCTGGCTTTATACTCAGGAATTGCTCCTGATGGTACTCTGGGGACCATACGGGATGCCAGGGATCAGGGATCAAATCTGGGTCAGCCTCATGTAAGCCAAACACCCTCCCTGCTGTATTATCGCTCCAGCCCGAGCTAATGTTTTATTGTTCTAGTTCCATCCAGCTATTTTCAAACATATTTGAATTTGTAAGACACTATTACTCACTTGCCAAATCCTGAGTTTAGAATTTTGTTTTCTTTTTTGAGATCCAATGAAAAAGCACCCAAAAGTCAAGGAAAATATTCATCCTGTGAAAGGGAAGGGGGGAGGGAAAGAGAGAATGTTATACTAAGAATAGAGCCCCCACAGTACTAAACGAATTCATGTACAGTATCGTTCAGGAGAACCTGGGAAGGCTATGGAAAGTATCCTGCCTGTAGGGCAGAGTCTGGCAAACTCCCCGTGGCGAATAATATGCCAAAACCCAGTAACAATGATGGGTCTCATTCTCCTGACCCTGAAAGAGCCTCGAATGTGGCACTTTCTAAAATCTCAGGGCTAGGATGAAGACTTTACTGGTGCCTGCTCGAGGCAATCGATGAATAACAGGATGACAGTGATACAGTGATCGTTCAAATAAGCCTTTATTCTTTTTGGGTTTTGGGCCACACTTGGTGGTGCTCAGGGCTCACTCCTGGCCAGCTCAGGGAATCGATATGGAATTCTGGGGATCAAACTTGGGTCAGTATGTACAAGGCAAGTGCCTTACTAACTATACCATCACGCTGGTCCTAAATCTTTTATTCTTGGGGCAGAAGAGATAGTGCAGCAGGTAAGGCGCTTGCCTTGCAGACAGGTAACACTGTGTTCCACATATGGTCACCTTATGCATGGTCAGGAGTGAGCTCCTAGTACTGCTGGTGTACCCAAAACAACTGAAAAATTACAATCAAATACTTAGGAAGATCAATCAAAAAATGACTCCTTGGGGCCGGAGTGATAGTACAGCAGGGAGGGCATTTCCAACTGGGGTTCAATTCCCAACATCACATATGGTCCCCTGAGCAATGCCAGGAGTAATTCCTGAGTGCAGAGCCAGGTGTACCTCCTGAGCATCGCCGGGTGTGACCCAAAAGAGGAAAAAAAAAATTCTCCTTACCTACACTAATTTAAAAAAAATGTCAAATCCTTGGAGGAACATGGAGGTCCTTAAGGTTTTTATAGAACCCCATCCCCTTTGAGAATTTGATATTATGATTCCCATCTTTGCTTTACTGCAAATGTCCAATCCCTTATTATTAAGGTGGAAGTATGTTCTTTCTGCCCCTAGCTGCTTCTTCATTCGCCTAAAAAATTAAAAACAAAACCAAAATCCAAAAACACACAAAAACTACTCCTGATAAAAAAAATCGCTAGGAAAGTTTTTGTAGAGGGATGGAGAAATAGTGGGTAAGGCATGCGATCGCATCCATATGGTCTCCTGGGCATTGCTAGGAACAATTTCTGAGTGTAGAGCCAGAAGTTGTAACCTCTAACATTGCTGGTTGTGGCCCCAATCCCCCACTCCCCCCAAAATTTTATGTAGATGTGTTTATAGAAGGTATCTTCTGGGCGCTGAGATAGTATCATGGGTAAAGCACTCGCCTTGGGCTGAAATCCTCGCATCACGAGATCCCCAGAGTCCATGAGTGATGCCTAACCTACAGAGGAGCAAGAAGCCCTGAGCACTGCCCAACGTGGCACCCCCAAAAAAACAAAACAAAAAAAGAGGAGGACAAAGTACATAAGGAACCCAGAAATCTGTACTGTGAGTTGTTAGTCCAGGTGGAGTCTTTTTTTCTTTTTTCTTTCTTTTTGGATCACACCCAGCCGATGCTCAGGGGTTACTCCTGGCTCTGCACTCAGGAATCACTCCTGGCGGTGCTTGGGGGACCGTATGGGATGCTGGGAATTTAACCCCCGTTGTCCGCATGCAAGGCAAACGCCCTACCCGCTGTGCTATTGCTGCAGCCCCCCCAGGCGGAGTTTTAATATGCTAGATTTAAACAGGTTTCACCCATCCAGAGGTCCTTCTCAGAATGTTAACTGAAATAAATCCAGGGATGTAGTTCAGTGATAAAGAGTGCTTTGCCTGCCAAGTGTGAGGCCCTAGGCTCATCCAGGGCACCACATTTAAAAACAAAATCCAACGAGGGCCTGTAACATGACAAACATGTTCTATCAAGTTAAACGGGAATCAAATACGACTGATGTAAAGTATCGTGCTCTACTTCTATTACACCTTGTATTACTTACGAATATGTCTGGAATTAGGCCCTATTTCTCACTATAAAGGAAGGAAGGAAAAGAAAATAAAGAAAGGGGTCGGAGCGATAGCACAGCGGGTAGGGCGTTTGCCTTGCACGCGGCCGACCCGGGTTCGATTCCCAGAATCCCATATGGTCGTTCCCCCACCCCCAGCCCCCGTGATTCCTGAGTGCAGAGTCAGGAGTAACCCCGAGCATCGTTGGGAGTGACCACAAAAAGCAAAAGAAAGAAGCGGGGCGGGGGGAGAGAGAAAACCAGGGCACCGGGGCTGGCGAGTTCGGGCGTGGCTGCGCGCGCACTGGGCTGCAGGGCCCATCAGCAGCGCCGGGCGTGAGCCGCAGGGCGTGGTCCGCGAACCCCAGGAACAAAATCGGACCCGGGACTCCTTTGGTTCTGCCACCCGGCAGCGAGCGCCAGGCGGAACTGCGGCGCCATCAAGGCCGGGGCCGGGACCCCCAGGAACAAAGCGGCCAACCCCTGCGCGCCAAGTTCGGACGTCACCCCCTCAAGGTCAACGGGCCAGAGGGGACACCACGTTCGCAGGACCCCGAGGGCCTTGGCCTCCCGGTGGGGACGAAGCCGGGGGGCAGGAAAGGTCAGGTCGGCCGGGGAAAGGAAATCCGTCCGAACTGGGCCCCGCGGCTCCGCCGGAAGCACAAAGGGCGCCTCAGGCAGGGCGCTGAGCGGGTCCGCGGCGGGTCGGGGGCGGGTGGCGGCGCGACACTCCCCGGAAGGCGCGAGCGGCCGCCCCGGGGGCAGCCCGGGAAGGAGGAGACCGCGCCCGACGCGCCCGTCTTCGGCCGCGCAGAGCCGCGCCACCGCCCCGTGCGCCTTTCTCCCCTCTCTGGCTTTCGCGGCCTACCTCTTCGGCACCAGCAGAAGCGTCCGAGCGCGGGGCCCGCGGCGCCGCCGGCCCGAAGGCCGGCTCACCACGGCGCGCCTCACTCCGCCATCTTGACTCCCGTGGCGCGTCCGCCAACCTCGCGGCGGCCGTTTCCGCAAGCCCCGCCCCGGCTGTTGCGTGCTGGGTGGACAAAAAGTCACGCAAGCGCGTTGGTTGGTTGGAGTGTTGGTCCATCAACCGTCCAGCCTCAGCCTTCTGAAGCCTGTTTTGCCGCATTGGGACTTTAGGGTTGAGGTAATAGTGGAAACTGGTTTTATAATTCATGTGTTAGCCATCTAAACTGCATGCCACAGAGAAGTTGTGTCATTCAGGTCCAAGCAAAATAGTCTAGCCTGCTGCCTGTTTTGAGCCATTACACCAGGCTATTGTATGACAATCTAGGATCATTTCGAGGCCCAGGAGCTTTTAACTGCCCCTTGGCTAGTTCAGGGCTCACTCCTGCTGACTTCAAGTCCGGTGGCCTGCTGGCCCTCCTTGCTGTGATATCGCTCCTACCCCTATTCTAACCATTTCTATTTAACCTAATCTAAATTCATGTCTTCCGTTTATTTTTTCCTTCTCTTACATCAGTCTTTGTAGTTAATTGAGATGTCTAAGGTTTGCACACTTGGTTGTGTTACTTGGTGGGGAACATCTATTTGGTTGCCTTCTTTATTATTTTTTTAATTGATAAATTGGAATTTATTTATTTTTAAATATTTATTAGTGAAACACCATGAAGAACAGTTGTAGACTTACAAATTTTTGTGCTTGGGTTTCAGTTATACAATGATCAAGTACCCCCATTCCTCAACCAGTGCCCGCTCTCTACCACCAATGGTCCCAGTATGCGCACCCCCCCCCTCCCGTGGCAGGGCCAGGGCATTCCCTTTTATTCTCTCTCTCCTTTTGGGTGCTGTGGTTTGTAAAAGAGGCAATGAGTGGCAATCATGTTTGGTCTATAGTCTACTTTTCAGCATGCATCTCCAATCCTGGGGGGATCCTCCCAACACCCTTTACTTGGTGCTCCCGGAGCTGCCTTTTCCCCTAGCATGTGCGACTGGCCTCCAAGCCATGGAGTGAACCTCCTGGTACTTATCTTGACTATTCTTGGGTGTTAGTCTCCTATTTTGTTACTTTATATTCCACAGATGAATGCAGTCTATGTTTTTCCCTCTCTTTCTGACTCATTTCACTTAGCATGATGCTTTCCATGTAGCACCACTTGTATGTAAATTTTATGACTTCATCTTTTCTAACAGCTGTATAGTACTCCTGATTGCCTTCTTTACCAGCAGCTTTGTGGTGCTGCCAGGAGCATTGCTGGCATGTGGGCAGGTTTCAGGGCTGAACTTGGTGGCCCCATGGTTCTTTCTCCGAGAGTATGTACCTACCTAAAACCTAGAGTACAAATTCTTTTATTTTTTTTTAATGAAACTTGTTTTAAACGATGTGAAGGCAGAGAAAGGGAGAAGTGTGTGCTTAAGAGGCTTCTCCAGAGTAGAAATAGACAAAGAAACAGACAAGCAAGATAGATCTTATTGTCAGTCACATTCAATTACTATATATACCAATTCTCCTGCTTTGTTCTACTTTTTATTTATTTTTGGTGGGGCAGGGGTGGTGCTGGTGAGGAAAAGGCACACCCAGCACTCAGGGGTTACTACTGGCTCTGCATTCAGGAACTACTCCTTGTGGTGTCCAGTGATAGAGGGGATTTAACCCAGGTTGGTTATGTGCAATGCAGTGTTCTTCCCACTGTACTCTCTCTCAAGCCCTCACTTGCCTAGTTTAGTTCCTACAAAATCTGCAAATGGTGGAAGTGTCAGAACCATGTCTCCAAAGTCTTGAGTTTTCAGATGAGGTCAGAGTCTAGTACTTAGAAAACAAAAGAATCTATAGAAGACTCAGAGACTTGGCATTTCAGCCCAAGTCCTTGATAGACTTAACACGTCAAATGCCAGGCAAGTTACTTCATCTTAACAGAAATGAGACCTTTCATTGTTGTGTGTGCTATCAGAGCTATGAAGAAATAGCCTGTAGTTTCTCACAAAATTACTAGATAAACCCATCACTGCCAGGGATAATGACAAAGAAAATCTCCAAATTGCAGTTCTCCTTCCTACAGGAGAGGTTAAACAGATGTAAATCAGCAAACACCAGTCATCTTTGATTTAAACTCCCTGTTGACTCAGAGCTCAGTTAAAGTAACAAAAGTGAATTCACGAACTTCAGTCTGTGATGACTTCCTTCTCAGAAATTCTGCTCTCAGTATTTAGGGTACAGGATGAAAAACTGACTTATACCATAATAAATCTAATTTGTGAAGATAGTATTAATCTCTACAGTAAAAACTTGTTCTATAACCCAATCAACACATCATATTATTTAAAATTTTTTTTTTCTTTTTTGGGTAATACCTGGTGGTCCTCAGGGCTTACTCCTGGCTCTGCACTAGGAATCACTCCTGTTGGGCTCGGGCACCATCTGGGATGCCGGGGACTGAACTTGGGTTGGCTGCATGCAAGACAAATGCCCTACCTGCTATACTGTTGCTCTAGCCCAACACATCATATTCTAATTGTGTTTACTTGATTTTGAGATGCCAGGAATTAAACCCAGGGTTTTACACATGCCAGCAAGTACTTTATTATTGAGCCATATCCCTAGTCTCTTACTAGTGTTTTAAATAAAAAACCTGACAATATAATTCTAAAATCTATTTGAAAATAGTGATCATAAAAAATTATTCTAAAAAGAACCCAGAAGGTAAAGAAGTTATTTAATTCCCATGTTAGCTGTTGTTAGCTATTGCAGGGTCACTGGGAGGTGCACGGCATGCCATGTCAGTGGTTGAACTTAGAACCTCACACACACACCGGGCATGTGCTCAACCACTAAGCTATCTTTCTGGCTAGGTATATAAAAAACACGAATGAAGTCAAACAAATTATTTTGTTTTAACCACAAGTATTTATTGATGGATTGAAGAATACAATTTTAATGGAACAATAAGGCACAACTGTGGATTAAAACGGTTTGATATACAGCCAAAAAGGAAAAAAGCCATAATCTTCGGAACTTTAAATAGGCAAGTCAGGGAGCCTTTTAAGTACCTAATAGATCAGTGTCAGACAGTTCCATTCTTCCCTTTCATAAAATTCCTATATTACATCACTTGATTACAAAGTCAGACTGATACTTCATCAAGAACTCCTCAGTCATTTCTACTGGAGTCATCCGTCCTGGCTACTCCTGTTCCCCACTCTTCCCCATCTTGGGTTGGTTTGCCTTTAGAAACCCCCATCCTGAACTACTGTGTGAACACAGCCTGGGATGGCCTTCCAAAGCAAGGGAACAGACAAGCAAGCAAGCAATGAGTCAGAGAGAGCCAGCCACAGGCAGATGCACGATGAAGAGACTCATATAGAACAACAACAGGATGACAGTAGCCTGACTTGGTGAGGTCAGTACTAGCTGACTTAGACAAAAAAACTGCTCTGGCTCATGCAAAGGCCTGTAATACTGCCTCAGTTTGTTCCACCAGCGCCAGACCTTGTGTTCCTAAGGGATGAGCAAAGATCTACAAGAGGAGCTAGGAGGTCAGTTTAGCAGGTGGCTAATGATCTGATACAATCAATGCTTTGGACCTATATTAGGAGCAGACTATGGCTTCCAGCATATCAATAATTGCCAAATGTAAATTCATGGAGAATTTTGTGCAAAACTTCAAGATACTGAAGACAATCTTTAAATTTCTTGGACTGGGATAAATGAGGCACTTCCGTACAACTAATCTTTCTACTTGGAAAGGTGAAGGGAAAAAATATTCCAGGGTACATAATACTGAGGCATAAACCACACTGCAGAGGTGGGAATACAGGAGACATTTTGTGTGCCCAACCTCCTTGCACAAAAAGCCAAGAGAAAGTCCCCATATATGGTCACCACAGCCATTCTGGTGGTGGTGGTTTCCCCAAAATAAGCAAACCTGCAGGCAAGTGTCTACTTCTGAAGTCACCACCATACTAATGGGAGGAGCCACGCAGGTTTGACTGCTGAGAATCAGAAGCTAGAGGTAGTGCAACCTGGACAAGCTGCCAAGAGGCTCAGCTCTCATTTCATCATAGCCACCACCTTTCCAGAACCTCCCCCAAGCATCCTTCATGAGATAGCAGAGTGCAGGAGACCAAGAGAGGGTCACTTGGTTCTGAGAAAAATGTGGGTTCCTGAAAAGCTCCTGTAGAGGCAACATCCCCGATATTCATTTTGCGTAAAGGCAGATAAAAATGGCCAGACTGCCGAACCATCCTGCCAAGTCAGAAATACATTTACCAGGCAGAGCTTGGGATGCCATGCAGAACAGAGAGGACTGAGACTCGACACAAAGCAGGGAGCCTGAAGTCGGGAGCACGGGACGGAGAGAGCAGCCAGACTGTGGGAAAGGCTGTCCAGCTTAGGCGGCTAGTGCCCAGGGAGAGACTTTGCTGACAGATTCTTGGCAGGATTCCCTTGTTCACTTTCTCAGACTGGATGGACACGTGGCATTCAGCAGCAGAACAGAGGGAGATGATGTTTAAATGGAGATCACCAGCAAATGATAGGAACAGAAAGAGACTGCGTGTACCATTCTGTAATGCCCTGTTTATACACCAAAGGCAGGTGTGTGTTGATGCAACATATTTGGGGTTGTCATGCAACAGCAATTGTACTTCGAGGGGAGGGGGATGTGGCAGCGGATGTGGGGCTGGTGGACAGGAGGATGCTCAAGTTCCAGTTCTTAAATACTAGAAAGCAAGGAACAGTTTGCTCTCAGTCCTTCAGTGAAGAAATCGGATGCTCATTTTCTGTTCTACATCCACCTTCTCCAAAACCTAGAAAAAAACAGAACCCAGCTGCAGTTATAAAAGTTACAAGAGAAGATGACATCCTCATACTTACCTGAATGCTTTCCTCCCTCAGTCCTGTGCAGCAGAAATGAATTTTTTTCAACAGACTTGTGTACCTTAACAAATTCTGTGAATGATATGGCGCTGTCCCCGTCCTGATCAGCTTCCTGGATTGTCCTGTCTGCGATGCTGCCCAGCTGCT